GTCTGTTATATACCAAAAAGCAAAACCCGGGCACAAATCACATATAAATGTTATAGAAAGCTTAAGGACTTACTAGATACTTTTAAGAGGATGGTTGGGAGAGGAGCCCAACATCAAATAATTAAGAGGATGATCATGAATTTATAAGAAAGGAAAACATTTTCATTGGTACAAGGTCTTTTGGAGAAACGAAAAGTAAATCCATGAAAGTTTTATTCTCAAAATAGATAATATTATACTATTGTGGAGAGTCGTGGTTTGCAACCATTTAAAATTCTTGTAAAATAAGTTCTTGAACTTAAAAGATCAAATATGTCAAAACTCGTTTAGATGCAAAGTTAATCAATCAAAGACTTATTAAAAATTACTACTAAACAACGATGAAATTATATGAACATGTGACAATAAATAGGAAAGTTCAAAGGCTAATCTGATTTAAAAACGATCACAAAATTGACTGTTTGAAGACTTAATAAGAATTCCTACTAAACATTGAAATTATATGAACCATGACGATAAATGGAAAAGTTAAAAAAGGCTAAACTGGTTTGAAAACGATCGCAAAGTTGACTGTTGGAAGACTTGTTAAGAATTCTTACTAAACAATGTTGAAATTTTATGAACCTATGACAATAAACAGAAAGGTTCAAAGGCTAAACTAGTTCAAAAACGATCTCCCAAGCCTATATAACTTGAGGAGATCGTCTCACTTTCTCATACCTCAAGTCAACCCATTTGCAAAAAACAATAATTATCAGAAAAAAAGAAAAAACAATAATTTTCTGGGAATATGTACTTACTTGATTTGTCCGGTTTCATGTTCTCTGGAGTATTGAAAACCAGCATGAGGAAAATTGAAGACAATGCGATCAAACCAGGTGTGACAGAGAAGTAGGTGTTGGCTCATTGTCGCTACGTCCACCCCATGTATCACACTGCAACCCAGCTCCTTCAGCTCTTCCAAGGTTGTCTTAATGTCCGAACCGTACTTCCTCAACAGTGTCTCTTTTCAAAATTTATTGAATTATTTACAAACAAACAAACACCAAAACCAACACAAAAAGGTTAGATTTTAAGACACAGAATTAGGACAACCTTATAAAACATGCAACTACTAAGTTTAAATCCTATTTTGGTCCCCCAAAAAGTCTTATTAATCTTTGGTAATTAAGGGCAATTATAAATCTGATTGTTGGTTGTCAAAGTATTCGACTATGTTGAAGAAATTATCACAACTATGTTGTTAGGTCTTCGACTATATTAGTTGTTAGGGTAACTAAATCTTATTGTTTCGGCCAAAAGAGATGTGGAAAGAAAGAACGCATGCATAGAGATTTCGTCTGTTGAAAGTTCGAGAATCTATGAAAGGACATCTAAGGCTAAGTAAGGAAGAATAAAAGGAAGTCTATTACTTAGAAAAGTGGTGATCTCGTCTTACTTGCTGGAAGAGAGGAAGCTTCCAAACCACCTTTTCTAGCCAGATAGCAAGCGATCACTCAGCAATTCACACTAAGAAAAAGTGGCCGAGAATGAGCACCTATCCCTTACGGGAATCGAACCCATGTCTTCGACATGAAAAGACGATGTCCTAACCACTGGACAAAAGGGACTCAATTCGATCCACCCTTCGGAACTCTAATGAAGGGGGCCCAACGCTTGTGCTTCTCTTTCTGGAAGTACATTTCATTTTGATCCTTAAACTTTCACATTTATTCTATATTAGCTCCCAAACATTTTAAAATGCTTATATTTGTAACGGCTCAAGTCTACCGCTATCAAATATTGTCATCTTTGAGCTTTTCCTTTCAGGGTTTCTCTCAAAGTTTTTAAAACACATATGATAGAGAGAGATTTTCACACTTTTATAAAAAATATTTCATTCTCCTCCCCAACCAACATTGAATCTCACAATATTGATCTTTGAATTTTCTAAGAAAATGACTACTTTGGTCTCTAGAACTATTGATATAATTTTAACTTCGAGTATATATAATAACATATTAAGTACAAATATGATTTGAAGCTTAATAAATTCTTCATGAAGATTAAGCAAAACAAATTGAAGGTAAAGAAACAGCAACAGCAACATAACAGAGATCAAAATGATGGTTTTTTAAAAGTCGAGGAAGGATATTGTTCAAGAATAAAGTACCTTCGGAGTCGAGAGAAGTGGCAACCATGTTGGTAGCAGTGCCGAAGGCGGAGGCCAAGCAAGCTGAGAAGGAGAAATTGCCTTCTCCAACAAGGAGTATGTCGTGGGAGCTGCTGTAATGCGTTATCCATTTTCTGGGCGACATTCCCATATTGATATCAAATCTGAGAACAACAATGTAATATATATATTAACAAGTACAGAATCTGGAAAGGCATTTTGGGAAGATGGAAGGTTTGATCTTTAATGAGAATTGGAAGAACATTGAATGAAGTGAAATGATTATATTGTATAGTATTGGGGGAGGATTTCGAGAATAATTCATGATTCATAGAAAATGTGATATAAAAAATGTGATTAGATCGAAGACTTCAAATGTCAAAGAAATTCAAATGTTATAAAAAAAATAAAAAAAAATTATCAATCATAATAAAGATATGAACATTTCAACTTTTATATATATATATATAGTTTCGAAAAAGTTTTGATTGATTAAAAAGTTTTGAAATTGGGATAAAAAAATTGAAACAAAAGACAATAATACAAAAACTAAAATAAACATTTGGAAACTACCCAGACAAAATTTTAATGTATAAATACTAAAATTAATCTTTTGAAAATCCAAACAACATAATAAAAATTAAAAAGTATTTAGACTAAAATTATATTAAAATCTAAAAAAAAGAAAAAGAAAAAGGAAAAAAAAAAAGGGGTGAATTTTGCAACTTATAAACCGGTTAGGAACCATTTTTTGAATAATTATTTATGAAAAAAAAAAATGTTTTGTTCTTTTAAACTAGACTTTTTTTTTCTTTGAAAATTAACCATTTAAATAGAGATTTTTCAAAAAAAAAAAAAAAAAAAAAAATCATTCTATTTCATTAATTTTTTTTAAAGAAAATTAAATGAAGAACACAATCCTATGATGTCTACAAAAATAATTAGAGGAACTTATGAAAAGGGAGGTGACTTTGTTCGAGAGGAAGTGTTAGATGATGAAAGTCCTACATCGACTAATTTAGAAAATGATCATGAGTTTATAATCAAATAATACTATTTCTATTGGTATGAGACCTTTGAGAGAAGCCCAAAGCAAAACCATGAAAGGTTACTTAAAGTGAACAATATTATACTAGTGTGAGAAAGTCATGTTCATCTAACACTCAATCAATATCCTAATTTCATCTTTTAAGTATTTCAAATCACATGACCCTTGGCCTCAAAAGTCATCATTTTTGTAATAATTAAACCAAAAAAACAAAAACTCTTCTTCTTCCTCTCCCTCCTTCAACCCTCATCACCAATTCAGACTCGAACGACAAGATCGTCAATCCTCTAGATCTAGACAAGACTTTCGATGAATGTGTTTAACTCTTAGAATAAGAGTTATTAGCTAAATTCATAAGCTTAGAAGCCTTCAATCTTTTAGTAATTGATCCTCCTTTTAGAGCTAAAATTATATGATTCCCTTGTACAAGTTGAGTCTGCTAATGATAGAATATTTACGTGTTACAATGAACGAAAGTACCGATTTTGAGAATATTTTGTGAAATAGAGGACCTGCTAAAACATCATTTCAGCAAAGGTTTTGAAGGGAGCATTATTCTTCGTAGATGAATTGCTGAAACAAGAGTTCAACATCAATTGAAGAATAATTGGTGTCCTGAGCTTTGCTTAAGCAGTTCTAGGAGAAAAATTTCACTTGCTGAATCAACTCTTATTGAGTTGGCTTCTTTTCAGCTCAATCACTTTTGTTCACGTAAAGACGTAAATGATAAAAAGAGAAATTGAAGATTCGACTCAACTCAAGATTGAATGAGATAAAACTTAAGATGAATGCATTTTTTCGAAAACTTTATCTTCGTCGATTGAACTACTAAACCTCTCCAACTCAGTTTCACTATTCAAGTACTTTGTTTTCGTCTTTGTTCCTTCACCTTCTTTTGCCTATTTATTCAAACACAGTAAATTCGGTTTCAGTACTATTTTCTTCTTTACTCTCTCTTTTTCTTCCTTAAATCAGATGAGAGAAGAACAATTAAGAGTGTACTTATTACAAAAGGAAGAAGATATTTATCCTTGCAGACTATTTTAGACAAGGAGCGGGAGGAAGCAATCCCAAGGTGTATACTTAGGGAAATGAGCTGGAGACAAGAGGAAAAGCACCATTGGAAGCTCCTAGTTCTAGTGTTCTACTTTTTCTTGTTTGTTTCTTCTATTTGACCCTACTGCACACTAGCAACACACTAAGAACTTGAGTAGTTTAGTGGAAATTAAGCTACAGCTTTGGGAAAGATACTTTGAATGTTCGTTGCTGAGTGAGTTTGAGGGAACAAAGGAATTACTTTCAACTTCGAATTCGTATCACTCTACAAGCAAAAACATTTCTTTGAGATTCGAATCACTCTACAAGCAAAATCGGTCATGTCAAGATTGAATGATTCTAAACATACAACCTAACTACATAGATTGCAAATAATCTTACCCCTTGACTAAAGAAAATGTAAGAACATTTAGCCTAATGATAAGGAACCACTTCAAGAAAAAGTAAAATTTGAATTACCTTGTTGATCAAATATCTCAAGACAGGAACATTTGATTTAGATTCGAAACATTCCGCAAGCAAGATCGATCATATCAAGCTTGAATGATTCTAAACATCTAAACTACATAAAATTGTAAAGAAACTTATTCATTGGCTAAAGAAAAGCAAAAATACTCTTTTTACTACACTTTCCGAGTCTCCGTACAAAGACAAAAGACATACACATGGCTTTATATAGCCTAATTTGAACATATATTTTCTATCTCTTGTTACCATTCTCTTCTATTTGTCTGCCTGGAACATTTACTTTAACCTCCCTCTTATTAATTTCTAACTTAGCTAATTTGACACACACTTCGGTCTAAGAAACAAATACATGGCTTATTACTATTCAAAATTCACAAAAAANAAAAAAAAAAAAAAAAAAAAAAAAAAAAAAAAAAAAAAAAAAAAATTCTATTGTGTACACTTACACAAGCTTCTATTGTTTGCACTCAAGTTGTAATAACTACCACTTTTAAAGCAAAACAAATACCATGTCATCACACACAGTATCCCTGTTAGCTACATAATGGAGACCTGATTTCAAAGGCTAAATCCAACTATTTTATAAAAACTAAGGTCCAAACCCAAGATCGAAGTAACGATTACCTTTTTCCCTTGCCTTATATTAATGAGCTAAACAAAGATTCTATTGGTTCAATTAGTGGAGGCTCTTGAAATGGTTTGGGGCAACAAGTTCCCAAGTGAGCACATTATGGGAACCACAAAGCATGTGTAATAAAGGCTAAGATTTCAAAATACGAATTTAAAATAAATTTAATAGAAATTGGAAAAGTTGGGAAACAAAGACTTCGTCAAAAGTAATTTGCGTGTTTGTTTAGAATTAGTACACATCCCATTTAGATGAATCTACCACTACCAAACTTTATGTCATTTTTTCTAAAGCACCAATTCACGATGCAAGTTTAGGGTCCATTCTACTAAAGAAAATATTAAATAATTACCCATTGGCATGGTGTAAATGGTGTAGATCTCAAGATCTGATATGAACCAAAAAACATCAATCATACAATATACTTCAATGAAGATGTGAAGAAGAGGGTGTCAAAATTATCAAAACATGTTTCAATTCATGTCACATTGAAGAAGAATGAAGTTTGATTGTTATAAATTTTGGGAGGGTTACAATTTAGAGTAATTTAGAGTTTTTAGACCTTTTTATTTACTCTAGGTTACAATTACACAATGATTAATTATGACCATTAAGTATGAATGTTACAACTCTTGGAATGCCTTTAGTAGTTTCATTTTGAGGCTATATAAAGTCATGCATGTTGTGTTTGTAAGAGACTTGGAAAATAGAGTAAAAGAAGCATTTGTGCTCTTTTTTGGCCTATGACTAAGAGTTTCTTTGCAATTCTATGTAGTTTAGGTTGCATGTAGAATCATTCAAGCTCGACATGATCAATCTTGCTTGCGGAGTGATTCGAATCTCAAGCAAGTGTTCTTGCCTTGAGATATTCGATCAACAATGTAATCCGAATCTTACTCCCCTTGTAGTGGTTCCTTATTTTATCAAGATCCTTTTATCTCAATATAATAATTCAGTGTCCTAAATTATGACCTTAGATTCATCACCCATTTACTATAATTTCTTTGCACTTCACCCGTCAATAATCTTACAGGTTGAATATTCATTCTTAAAAAGAAAAGGAAAAAGAAAAAAAGTAATTAATGTTGATGTTGCAATGGGTTGGTTGAAGCCTTCATGTTTATTAGAAAATTTATATATATATATTCTATAAATATAGTAATAATTTTTATATTAATCCAAACATATCTTAATTAGTATATGTGTCAAATATTTAAATTTTCAAACATTACACTGTGTAAGCCTCCTATCTTAATCATAATTTAACTAGTATTAAACTTTTAATTTTATATTTAAAATGCATGCAAATTTTAAAATTGTTTAATAAATCTCTAAACTTTTGATTTGTATCTAATTAATCCAAACTTTTGAAACTGTTTTAACAAAATTAAATGATATTAATTCTATACTTAATAGAACTCCTAACTTTACAATTTGTATTTGTAAATTTGTAGATTTTAAATAAATGTCAATTAGGACAAAGTTTAAAGACCGCCATCCTTTTTAAGTTTATTCGATAAAAAATTTAAAATTTATTAACACTTTCTAAAATAACAAAATAAACACTAACTCACTCACCTACTCTAGTTCTCTCGTTTTTATCTCGATAAGAGATTCTTCTATTTAATTCGAAAGGCAATTCTTCGTGTCAAGCTATAAGATGAGATTCTATTGTTGTACTATTTGACTGATAATAAAAGCCTTAAGTCAAAAATAGGAAGACTCTTGTATATACAGTAACCCTTTCTTACGCTACTCTAGTAGACTGTTGCACGTAAGGTTAACCAAAACTAACCTTCTTTTTTTTTTTTTAGTGCGTTTTTCAAATACTTAAGTTTGAAGCTAACAGTAAAAGGTTTCCAAGTTTGAAGTTTTGAACCCCAGGATGGTCATCCAAAACGTGCTAAGCAGAGACTTTTGATTGATGATTCAAAGAATTATTGGTGTGGCCCTCGTTATAAGATCATTAATAGTTGAATGGTAAGAAGACACGTACAGAAAATGATAAGAACACGTCCCTCAAAGTTGCTCAAAGTGATGTCTTTTGATTTGATAGAGTAGAAAAGGACAGAAAGCTAACGAGTGCCAACTGCATGGATGAGATGAGAGATCATATGGGCCATCCAATAACCCTTCCTCTGCGCAACCAAATTAAATGGGTTCTTTTGTATAACAAGGAAAGGATGAGTGTGTTGGCTATTGCGCTTGGAAGTTGCTTCTAATCTTGGGAATTTGGGATTCTTCAGCTTAACTAGATTCCTTAGGATTCCTTTTCCACGTCCCACTTTCTCATACCTTTCTTCATCAACAAAAAATGAACAAGGTTTCCTCTTTTTTTTTTTTTAATAAATTTCACTGTTTTTTATGGGTTAGAACTAAAGGGGTATTTTGATAATTATTCTGGTATGTTCGAATAAGTTTCCTATGACCATAGGAATAGGAATAGGATTAGGAATCTTAATACAAAATAATTCCAATACTCCTAAGTCTAAAGGTTGAAATTTTTTACTTCTACTTTTATACTAATCCACGTGTACACTAACTCAAGACCATTATAAAATCAATAATTTTAGTTTTACTTCTTAGATAAAATTCAATAATTTTTTAAGATTAAAATATAAGTTTAGTTTTTTAATTTTTAGAGGGCGTTTCATAAATTTCGACATGAACTTTTCCATTTGGAGGTTCTTTCCATTTAAAATGGTAATAAGTTTTTTAATTGTATTTTAGTTTTTAAGTTTTCAGTAGAAATAATCCAAAGCTGTAAGGCTTATTAATGCTTTTAAAAATAAAAATTTAATAAAAAAAAAATTAAAAGCTCAGCACACACATCTTCTAAAATTATGTTTTAAGATATTTAAAGACTAAATTTGTAACTAAACTTATTTCTTACTTCAATTACTAAATCGTCTCATAAATTAATTAATCGAGGTAAGAATTCTAGATGAGAGCATTTTCAAGAACAGCATGGATTTAGTTGTTGCCTTTTGCGGAGGCTTACTATGCGTCAGGAGACCATCATTGGCCTCCAGAAAAGGACAGCAAGAAGATAAATCGAGTGAGGAAAAAAAGATAAATACCTCCATGACGGGGGTCCACGAAAGCAGAGTGGGCTTTTCTTATTTCTGGTGTTTCCATGATTCACCAACAATCAACTCCTCGGTAAATGACAAATAAGTCCCCATAAAGGATGAAGTAGATACTTTGCTTTGAAGGAGCAAAGACCACGCCTCCAAGCCAAATGCTGAAACGAGATTGACATATATTAATGTGGGAAAGAAAACCCAAAAAGATAAAAGAAGACCAATAAATGATCCATTAGCTTTACGATCCAACCACCCACGACCCAGATACGCCCTCGCTATTAAGTGCAGTGTAAGCCAACAGACAAGCGTTTTAAAACCCATTTCGTCTATCAACCAAACAACAAAACCCCCTTCACAGAATCAAACCTTCAAGAACAATGGCGTAAAGCATCGACAACATCTTGGCGTGCTGGGTACCACTGAGCGTCAAATTTCATGAGATAACAAAAGCAATAAATACACAAAAATCAACGTCATTTGTTCGCTCATATATTCTTATGCTTTGATCAGTGAGCAGTGCAGAAAAGAGCGAGAGAGAGAGAGTATTTATCTTTATAGGTTTTGTTCTGTATATGTTTATGAGTAATATCTGCAGAATTCGTCAACCTGGGAAAGTCCGGAGAGCACATCCTAGACGGTATCTTCGGCTGCATCAATGAAATCACAGCAGCCCTCGCGTTCGCCAGGATGAGTGACTCAGCATACAGGGTAGAAACCACATCCCGTCTTGCCCAATGGAGGATCGAAAATCTAGCTTCCTGCACCTACCGCAAATCCGATCCTTTCAAAATCGGCAAGTGGAAATGGTAAATTAATCTTTCTTTGTTCATTAGTTTCGTTTAAAGCTACATTTTTGTGAAATAAGGTTAAATAAATAGATACCCACTTATCCTAAGAGAAACTAATTTGTATGTGGTGATGAAAGGAGAGGATAAGATCCTAACCATCTCTTGAAAAGAAGAGAAAATGGAAGATAATGACAATAATCTGTTTTCCCCCTTCTAATTGGAGATGTTGCATGTTTTTTTTTCTCCTCTATCCAAACAGGATAGGGATGTATATATCTAATATTTTTGTTTGGATTGAAGGCATTTATCGGTGGAAAAAAACAAGCTTTTATATGTTAAATTATACCCAGAGATATCGAGCGTGACAAGGGCCAATCCCCCGATTGTATCTTTCATCATCCGAGTGGTTTCCTCTGCAGGAGATCGGAAGGCTTTGATTCATCCAGGTAATTTCCTTCTCCTTTCCTGTACATTTTCAAGACAGAGTAGTTAGTTTTCAGATTGAAAGGACATTCACCTTCAATTATATCTTCAGGTTCTGATTCATGAATAAAAGTTGAAATACTTAACCCAAATAAAATTAGACATCTGTAATTATTTGATGGGGAACATGGCTAATCTCTGTTCAGAAATTTGATTTGTGGTTGGACTTTTATTAAAAACTTCTTCTTTTCCTGATGACCTTCAGTTCCTCTAATGACCAATAACGTTACCTCATCTTCCTCTATGCAGAAATAATAGATAAACAGCTTAAAAACAACGACGACTTTATTTGGCCAATTGAAGTTCCATTAACGGGAAAGTTCATTATTGATGTCGAATTCCTTGACTTGAAGATTGCCTCACCCGAGGTAAGCACATAAATATTTGTCCGTTGCTAGTGCATGCATATTTCTTCCAAAGATGATTGTGGGGTTGGCTATAATAACACAGGACCTGAGGATCATAGATAAAAACAAGCCAAACGCAGAAGCAGTTGACAAAAGTTATGCCTTAAGATAAAGAAAAAATAGTTATCAACGCCTGTGTTAGAGAAAGAACGATTGAATACCTATTTCGCTCCTCTTTTAACTCATTGTTGTCAAATTACTAACAGGGTGGGGAACCTTCCTCCATCTGGGCGGATGGATTGACACAACAACGATCGAATTCAAGAGCTCTTATTTCATTGGGTCGAATGTTGAAGGAAAGCATCCACACCGATATCATAATTAATGCATCTGACGGAAGTGTTAGAGCACATCGTGCTATTCTTGCTTCACGATCACCTGTTTTCCACAGCATGTTTTCACATGACCTGAAAGAAAAGGAACTATCTACAATAAACATCTCTGATATGTCTTTTGAAGCTTGCCAGGCACTTCTTAATTATCTGTATGGTAATATCCAACATGAAGAGTTTCTCGTCCATAGACTGGCACTTCTTCATGCAGCTGATAAATATGACATAGATGACCTAAAAGAAGCCTGCCATGATAGTCTGCTAGAAGATATTGATGCCAAAAATGTTCTTGATAGACTCCAAAATGCATCTCTTTATCAATTGCCAAAACTGAAGACCAGCTGCATGCAGTATCTTGTGAAGTTTGGCAAGATACTCGACATCCGAGATGAATTCAATGTCTTTCTGCAAAATGCAGAAAGGGACCTAATAGCTGAGATCTTCCATGAAATTCTTAATGCTTGGAAAGGTTTCTAGCTTGATGAAGAGGATGATTAATGTTGGTGTGTTTATGGTGTACACATAAGATTGCTACAAGGATTTAGTGTCAGAATTTGTAACCTTGAAAGGTGATTCTTTCTCCAAATTGTTTGTCCTGAAATTAGTCAGGTTTCTCATGATAGATGACGGTGTTATGAATACAAATACAATTGAAAGAAATGTAAATAATTTCATGTTCTGTGTTTGGAATTTAAATTGTACATAGTTTAGTAGTTTTCCATCACACAAGATCCCACAGTACCCTGATATCCATAATGCACTCGTAACCATCTGCAAAAGAAAATCAACCCGAACGTACAGATGTTTCAGGTTCATTCTCTCAGCAAGATATTGCATTGTAATATACACAGAGTAACAAATTCTGGAACCAGAGTACGAGCAGCATTTAAGGCTGGCAACGCAATAAGAAAAGCATTCAACATTACACAAACCGTACCAACCTTGAAAACATTGACCAAATCAACCAAAATCTGCTAGCCATTAAAGAAACGATCAAGTAAAGCTCCACAAACTCGAACCATGAGAACCAACTGAAGTCGAACTATAACGACAACATCACATACTCGCAAACTAATCACCTAATTCAAAACTCAACAAAAGGAAAAAAGCTTAAAAGTAGAATTTCACACGAATACCTTCTGTTCACTACCAAACACAACATTTTCAAACGCATTACAATTCAATAAACGAATACAGAACACAAATAGTACCTCAGCGAAAAGATCAACGCTGCAACTTCATCCACACAGTTGGATCGGCTGTTTACTGGGAAGAATCGCTCTGAACAAGAGTCCATATCCGATCCAACTCTGTGAATCGCTCTGAAAAAGATTTCATCTCCGATCCAACTCTGTGAATCGATCTGAAGAGTTGAGGATTGAAAATGCAGAGAAGAAGGAGATCGAAAAGCGAAGGGGGAGAGGACAGAAATGGAAGGCGGGAAGAATGGAGGGAATATTGTAGGAATCTGTTATGTCTATGCTTTGCGTGGCAATTTCAAGCGGACCCGCTCTTGCAATTCATAATTTCTTTTAAATTTTGAACTGCTGATTTTTTTTTTTTTTTTTAATGTTTATAAATATTTATTTTTATAAATGTAATTGTAACGTTACAAATTTAGTCTCGAAACTTTGAGATTTGTATTTATTTACTTACTCAACTTTAAAATATATATATATTCAACGGTAACTTTTAATTTAACGTTTAAAAAATAATTATTTTATTATATATAAATTTGAATTTTAACCTTTTATTTTTTTAATAACATTATAAGCTTAATCTTGTATCATTTTCTCACTAATAAATTTATAAAATTTCAATTTACCCTTGAAATAAAAAAAAAAATAAAAAATAAAAATTGGACTAGATAAGCAAACAAACATATCAAAATTCAAATATGGAAATTATAATTTAACCAAATTATTTTTTAAAAATATTTTTACAACTATATTAATTTTTCTCATAATGGGTGGACTTTTAAAATTGTAAAATAAATTCCGTGTTGTTCGAGGGTTCTCCACAATTAGTAATGGCATAACCAGAAGAGAGGTAGGAGAAAGAAGGTTACGCACTTGGTAGTCAATTCTATTGAATTAGAAGGGCTCGAGGGTTCCCCACAATTAGTAATGACATAAGCAGAAGAGAGGTAGGAGAAAGAAGGTCATGCACTCGTGGTCAATTCTACTAAATTAGATGGTCTGGAGGTTCCCCACAATTAGTAATGACAAAACCAGAAGAGAGGTAAGGGAAAGAAGGTTACGCACTGGTTAGCACAGCACCTCTGTTTCAGGTACAGAGGCGACGAAGGGTGCCAACCCGACCACCCAACCCAATAGGTCAGGAGAGAGCCAATCATAGGTTCGAATCCTGCTACCTTTCTTGTGGATCATCCTGTGGTTACCGAGGATGATGAGAACAAGAAAGCATAAAGTAGGAAACGTGCTCGACATGCTTTCAAAAACCAAATCAAATTCTAAAAATTAAAAAACAAATAAATAAAATAAAGTAATTTTAAAATTCTTTCTAAGATCAACTTGCTAAATAAATAAAGTAATTGTTCATCGTAACATTATAATGTTTGAGCTTTTGGTTTAACATAACATAAAAATATTGTTTGAATAGCAAGAAAGCATATGAATGTTTGTGGATTAAATTGATAATTGAAAAATCTAAAACAGATAGATAATCCACAAAGAAATGGACTTCATCTTCAGATTATTACTCATCCAAAAAGAAACCCAGCAGCCTGTTCTTCATTTCCCTCAAATAGTTTCAGAGCTTGTATTACAGCCTCTCTTTGGAACCCCAATTCTACAAGCTTGGCTACTTTCGCTTCGAATTCCGGACCCTGTAATCACAATATCAAAGAACCCAAGTTTAGAGGTAAAAGTTTTGTTAAATTATAAATTTAGTCTATGAAACTTCGAACGTTTTGTCTATTTAGTCCCTTAGGTTTAAACACGAGTCTCTGTCGCTAACAATGTGGACTAAAAGAATGACATGACTGTCATAAGACAGATATTACTTAATTTAGCCCAACAGAATCAACATGTGACAAGAAAGTAGAGTTATGCATAAAATAAAGTGGCATAAGTCGGGGCGGGGCGAGCAAGTGTATCTGCACCGTCTTATTTTAACTGACTGGACCGCTTCTTTCTTTCTAGAACTTGTCTAGTACGTCCCAAATCAATCAGCTATTTT